AAGAGAAGCAAGTAAAGCAGGCCAAGGAGTTGGGTTCTCTTTTGCAGGTACTAGGGAGCCACTGGAGTTTATAAAAAGGCCATATTTTAGGTAAATTAATCTGATAGCTGTGTATAAGGTAGCTCAGCAGAAATTTAGCCCGACATCCTTCTCCACTTCTGTACCTCTGTTACAGCACTATTTGTAATGCTGTACTCTAGACTGAGAGTAATGACCTGAGCTATAATGAGGAGGGGAAGGGAATTGATATTCATTGAACACTGATTCTGTACCAAGCCCCATTCTTATAATTTTAGCATATTATCACAATAACCCTCTGAAATACTAATGACGAATGTTTTAATTATGTTCACTCTCTAAATTTGCTAAGGTAAAAGTAAACTAAGAGACATTAGGAGGTTCTAAAAAACAAGGCTTGAAATAAAGAGGACTTACTGAACAACAACACTCAGTTATGAAGTTTAGTTAATCAAATAACTTAGATATTAAATACTTTTCCTTTTCAATTGAAATGGGCAGGCATTTGAATTTAAATTTAAATGATACGATTTGAACCTGTTTGTTTGTTTCTGCATTCCATAATAGTATATTCACTCACACACACACACACACACACACATTTTTACTTACCCAAAGGCTCAGGCTGGGGCTGAATCTTTGTGCTGGTCTCCTCCTCCCACATCTCTCTGTTATCAGGGCCTAAGTGTTTCTTATTACTTGAGTCAGAAGGCTTCCTATGGCTAGCATCACGCTGACTAGAGTCTGAAGGTTCTCTATTGCTGTCATCATCTTGTGTAGAAGTTGGGTAGTTCTGATCCACAAACAGTATTCTGTCTCTGGATTCAAAATCTAGCCAGGGTAGAGACCATCCATGAGACACAACGCTAGAAAAATGGACTGTGATAAACGCAAGCACGCTTTTGCTCCCTCCTTGTGATGTACCTGTTTGCTGTTTGGCTTCTGTGTTCATTTTCATGAGGTATTGCTGCCTTATGTGTTTGGCAAATCTGGCAGGGTTGTCCCATGGTATGTTGAACATCTCAGAATCTGTCCCACACATCGTCCCAGAAGGCTTTAGTGTCCCTTGTTCGTCGACCTCAGAGAGCTTCAGGCTCTCAAAAGTAAATACCTTAAAGGCTCGTTCTACTTCATTCCAGCTCAAGACTTCTGTAAGAAAGAAGGACCTGTGCTGCTAGGAACGTTCTCATGAGTACATGGTACAGGGCTGACAGAGGGGGCCACTAGGGGGAGTCTGTCCACCAGAATGACAAGGGAGTCACCACGATGGGTGTTGACCTGACTTTAAGCATGGGCTCCACGAGTCTACAACAAATATCAAAGGTACCTAAAAATAAGGAAACCACATAGTCAAGATATAATGCTCCCAAACTGCTTCATAGCTTAGTCAGTATTAGGTGTCCAGATTCATTTGCATGAACTTTCCAGGGTATCATATTGGCTTAACATATTTACAATTTATCATTTTTGAGCAAATGCACCCTTTGCTGCTGTTGTAATTTAAAGCAGAGATATTATTTACTTGCATTAGGTGTCCAGATTCATTTGCATGAACTTTCCAGGGTATCATATTGGCTTAACATATTTATAATTTATCATTTTTGAGCAAATGCACCCTTTGCTGCTGTTGTAATTTAAAGCAGAGAAATTATTTACTTGTGTCTAACATAGGATGCTATATTTACTAGGTTTTTCTGTTCATTTGGGCTAAGGAAAGTCCTCTTCCCATCCACATGAATTGCTGCAGTATTTTCCATAATTGCATTTCAAAGTTTACCAGCTTTCAAATGGGCTCTATTTAATTGTGTATTTATTCTTTTAGAGCATTTATTTACCTGTTCACTCACTTACTGGTTATTGTTTTGTGTGTATTTGGCTTTGTCATAGATGCCTGGGATTCAAAGAAAAGAACTGCTTCTTACACTTTGGAAGTTCAAGGTGGAGGGATGAGAGGTAGGGATTAACAAATGAACATGGAATTCAAAGGGGAAAAAATGAAATGCTTGTGGCAGATCAGTGACTCAGAGGTTCTTACCGTCTCCTCAGCAGAGACGAGGGAAGTAGCAGGGGTCCCTTTGGAAAAAACAGTAGGATTCACAAGAGAGACAGAGAAGACGAAAAAGAATTACAGAACAAAGGAGAGTTTGCTCATTCATTGATTTCACAAATATGGTTTGAGCACCTACTAGATGTCAGGAACTATAATAAAGGCTGGAAACATGGTGGTAAACAAAGCAGTGAGCTCCGTTTTCACTCGTGGAATATTCGTTCTAGTGGTTGGAAGCAGACAAGTGACTAAGACATCAAAGACGATAAGAAGAAAGCCAGCTGAGAAGATAAAAGGTTGTAACGGTGGGGAAGAGGCTTCTATTTTATGTAGGTGGTCAGAGAAAAATTCTCTGAACAGTTAAGCACAAACGAGAAAAAGATAGGGGAGCAAACCGTCTGGGTGTCTGAGAGAAAAGTGATTGGGGCAGGGAAAGAGGAAAAGTAAAGATCGTGAGGCAGGGGTGGGATCATCGTATTGAAGGAGTCATGGTGAGGCCCGTGGAGACAGAGCGGAGCAGAACGTGAGAGCCCAGCAGGGGAAAAGCTCAAAATGGGGGTGGCAGACAGCTGAGGGTTTGCACTGATGAAATGCATGACTGTTAGAAGGTTTTGAGCTACGAAGGCACATGCTCTGGCCAACATTTTAGAGGAGCCATTCCAATTACTGTGTGAAGAAAAGACTGTTGGGAAAAAGGTGAAAGGCTGCAGACCTGTTAGAAAGCTACTAAATAGTCCAAGTGAGAGGTGATGGTGGACAGGGCTGGGATGGTAGTGAGGGCTGTGGTGGGACTGGTGGTGGGGGTGACAAAAAAAAAGAAGCAGGGACGACTCCAGGATTTTGGTCAAAAATTGTGGTCATTTACTGAAATAAGGGGGATGGTAAAGGGAGAAATTTGGGGGCCAGGAATCAAGAGTTTGGTTTTAGATCCCTTAAGTATGAGGTGCTGAAATGGAAAAGTGGAAGGAGAGGCAGGAGGACAAGGATCTGGGGTGGGACATGTAAGCAGCATGTATGTGAGGTTTCAATGGTGGCAGCAGAAACAAGAATCCCGTGCTGTATGTAGAACTAAGCTGGAGAGAGAATGGATCACACCAGAAGGCAGAAGGAGAGGTGGCGTGTGGCAGGACGCTGGTGAAGGACAGATACTCTCAGGAACAGCAGGAAGGGGTAGTTATGTAAACCACAGACAAGGCACATCCAGGGACACTAGACTGTGTGTGCCCTGCAATTCCGTGAGGTGATGGCATGACAGTGTTCAAAAGATCTTGGCTTTTTTATTACTAAGCCTACTTAAAAGTGGAAGAAGAAGTCAAGGTAAAAAAATACTTGGTAAGTTGATTAGGGTTAAAAATAAAATTGAAAGAATAATCGGCACATGCTTTCTACTTTTCTAGGTCAGATGCTACGGTGTCTATGAATTTAGTATTCTTTATTAGTAGAAATGTATCTGCATAATGCCTCAAGTGGAAAATATAATTTCCTTTGGGAAATGGTTGCCCACATCACAAAATCCTGTGAACACTGAGACAAAACGTGATTCTAGACATTCTTTATGGCCCCTCTTCCCACCGTCCTCAAAGGAAAGTGGTCCTTGCTGTTGTGAGACACTGTTACCCTGAATCAACTCACTCTCAGCAGCATGTTGACAGGGTCTCTCTCCTCATCTCTGTGTTTCTAGGCCTAGGGTCAACTATGGCATAGAGGAGGTGCTCAGACCTGCAGACTGTGCCTCCAGATCTCTACTGTGGCTTTCTTCCTGGAGCTCCTGCTCAGTAACATGGGGAAAGGGTGTCCTATGGGCATCAAGAGACCAGAATTTTAGTCTTGGCTTTGCCACTATTATAATCCTAGAGCAAATAATTTAACCTGACAGGATCTTAGCTTTCTCATTTATAAACAGATTTAGACTAGATTAATCCTGAGGTTCTTTTCAGTTAGAAAAATTTATGGTTCTATGATTCACCTGTCTTCACAAAAATTTAACTTCTGGATATGAATATTGTTTTCAGCATTTTTTCTCAGGGAGGGATTAAATATGAGCTCCAGTAGCACAGGTTACAAGACATTCACCTTTGCCTCCCAGGCCACACTTTTTTGCTCCCTTCCTATCCTCCTGTGCTGAGATGGTTCAAGCAAGGATTTTTTCTCAGGGAGGGATTAAATATGAGCTCCAGTAGCACAGGTTACAAGACATTCACCTCTGCCTCCCAGGCCACACTTTTTTGCTCCCTTCCTATCCTCCTGTGCTAAGATGGTTCAAGCAAGTGCTCACGTTGGTTTTAACCCGGTGAGCATTCCCACCAAATTCAGATGATGTGGAACTTCTTTTTCTCTTTTCTTGTTAGAAAAAGAGAAGACCATGGAGGGACAGAAAAAGAAGGAACAGAAGAAAAATTCCCTAATATAACATTTCCTTCATAAAAAAGAAGGATCTACTTGGGAGCAGTGGTTGTTCTGAAAAAAGCACGTCGTAAAGAGGTAGAGGTAGAGATCTTTACTGCCTTCGTCTCTTATGAAGGTTCCATAACAGGATATGGGAAGCAAAAAATCATGGGGAGAATGGGCAAGATTGGGATAAATCAAACTGACAAGAGATAGATTTGCTGTCAACTCACCTGACCCTCTTGTCTTCTACCTCTGTAACCCTAGCTGGTTTCCAATGGGAACACCATGCTTCCAACATGGGACCAGCTAGAGCCACATGGTTGGATGAAAAGAAAAATGGTGATCCAAACCTTAACTTTATCAATCAAACGGAGAGCCAAGACAGTTTCCCATTTAAGGGGTGAGGGCACAGCTACAGTCTTACCGTGAATTTTCCAATCTACTATACAGGATCGTTCAGTGGCTATCCTTTACACTGGAATGTAATGCTCTCATCTTTTTTCTTTGTGCAGATAGATTAATTGATAGGTGTAAATATATCTAAAAAGTCTAATTTAAATGTTGTGTCTGATTTATTGATTCAGACTGGATATAAGGGAGGACACTTCAAGTTTCCTTTGACTACCAAAATTCTTCTGGAACTTTTTTTTTTATCCACGATGAGAGGAATACTAAATGAGAATTCTAAGACAGATGTCTCTGAATTGGGACAAAGTTGCATAGTCAGGCTTGCTCTTCCTACTTTCCAGATAATATGACTGAAATGTTATGTAGTATTTGTGTAATTTGCAATGATGATAAAGAGGTACAGTGGTGAGCCAGTGGAGGAAAGACAGCATTGTCCTGAAAAGGATTAAAACTTGGGATGTGAGGTTTCTGTTTATTTTTAAATTTTAAATAGTATCTGAACCTTTAATCCTCTTAAGTAGGATGGGGTTACCACATCATTTCCAGTGACGTCAATGTGAATGTGGGTTGAAGGGGGGAGAGGGAGAAAAGGAGGGGATTATTCTGGTTAAGGAAACACAGTGGGAAGAAAATCCAGTGAGTCAAACTGGAGAATGATATGCATCATAGCTATCACATCATTTCTAATGACATGATTCCAAATAAGAAAGTTGTGGTCAATCAAAATACCCTCTTTAGCCTCTGAAAGATCTTTCAATAATCAAAATACTTTTTGCAAATAAGGGTGTAATTTTAAGAAGCACATATGACCATCAATTAAAATGAGTTTAAGCTAAGACAAAGCAATGTACTCACCACTTGTACAAAAGTGCATGAGCTCATGAATTGTAGCTAGACGTTTAGTGCTGTTCCATGGTGGGGGCAGAGGGAATTGAAGGAATTCCCACAAGGGCAACTTGGACTGCATCTCCTGCTCAATTTGAACTGGGTCAAAATTCTTTTGGTCCTGATGAAAAAGAGCAACATGACAGAAGACATTAAAGTAAACTGTCAAGTGCCTTATGCATATGGAGAAGGCTAAACATGATACCTTCGCTCTCATTATTTGGGAATAGGGGAAATCACTGGTAATTGGGGCAGACAAACTTTCGGTATTTTGCTGAAGGTCAAAGAAGCTAGTTCTCACTTTACCACAAGTTCCTGGTGCACAGAAATGACTGATTCTTCATTCATAGTGACAAACTGTCAAAGTCTCATATATACTCATCTCACCCATCTGAGATTCTTTTGGGCTTCCATTAGTTTTTCTTAGCAGCAGATATTTATGGCAAATAATTATAAGGTTTTAGTGTAAAGACAGTGGTAGTCACAATCAATTCGATGGTTAATTGGACCTGTATAATTAGGCAAGTTTTCTTTGCTGATGTCATTTCATCCTTATTTATCTCCATTTTTTGAGATCCTACTTTGCAAGCAGGTATCCCTTTTGTGCATTACTTTTTAATTAGCTTTGGTAAAGTTATCTAATGAAGATACCTTCAACTGAATAGTGAAAGATGAGCGCTCTCACATCGGCTATCCTTAGGGTGACTGGATTATTGTTACCTTCAGTGCGCACTTCTTGTGGGCGTGTGCATCATGATAGTTCAGAAGGAGAGGGCCTTTGGGCACTGCTTTGCTTTCACATTCCTCTTCAGATAAGAATACTTCACAGAGGTTCTATTCAAATTGAAATAATACTGATTTAAAGAGAGAAAGATACTTTTTCAAAGCATGAAAACTCTTTGGACATGTCATGCCCTCTGACCTTTTTTTCCTTCTCTGAGAGAGAGAGTGAGGGCAGGATGGACACTATGTGGGCTGCGATTCTGTGGTCTAACCCATCTGCCCGGCAGGGTGGCTCCAGCAGACTGGGTGGAACAAGGTCTTCCTCAGTTGCCACAACCTATTGAGATAAACAGTTGGGAGGAACTGGTTTGATGATCAGCTCTTTACTGACACTCATATTTCCATCACTCTTAGTATGAACAAGACTGTTTCTACCACTAAAGGACTAGTAATTGCACAAAATGGCAGGAAAGTTTCAGTGATTACCAAAATAAAAGGAAAAATGTTTCAATCAATGCAATAAAGAAGATATAATCTTGATATTTGTATTAAAATAGATACCACAAAACTCAAATGGTACATAATAAACTTTACTATGGTAGAAGTCAAAATAACAACATATATATTTTCAGTATCTACTCTTTCTCTTAAAGCACTGAAACAGTGCTCATACAACTTGAGGTTTAATTAATATTTATTGAGTGCCTACCACATGCCAGCTACCCTGTAGAGCATCTTCACATACAGCAACTCATTTAGGCCTCACAGCAACTTTGTGGGGAAGATACTATTTTCCATTTTATAAAGGAGAAAACTCGGGTGAGTGTCAATAGATGACTGGCCCAAGCCCAGGGCTACTGAGTGGGTTCAGGCCACCTCCTCATTCTTTCATTGAAAATAGAAAAGTTATAAGATGGTGAGATCACAGGGGCTGGCTGGTTAGCTCGGTTGGTTAGAGTGTGATGTTATAACACCAGGGTGAAGAGTTCAGATCCCTGTACTTGCCAGCCAGCAAAAAAAAAAAAAAGATGAGATCAGTAATGGATAATAGGCTCCTTTCTATGGGGGAAGTGAGGTCTAGAAAGATTAAATGCCTTGTTCAATTTCACACGGCAAACAAGAAAAGAAGATTAAAACATTATCAAGATGGGCATTTAATTTACAGCTTTTCTCTTTACCCTAAATCCTATAATCACCCTCTATGATTTTACATCTCTCTACGAGGTTTCCCAGCCTTGGCATTAATGACATGAGACTAGATAGCTGTTTGTCGTGGGGGCTGTCCGCTGCACTGTAGGATGTTTAGAAGCATTCCTGGCCTCTGCCCATTTGATGCGAGTAGCACCTTTCCAGTTGTGACAACCAAAAGTATCTCCAGACATTGTCAAATGTCCCCTGGGAGGTAAAATCACCCACTCTTGAGAACCATTGCTGTAGAATAACAAAATAGCTTCATATTCTTCACCTTTTATAAACACTCTACTTTCAAAAGAGTCACTGTTTCCACTTTCTATCTCTCAACCATTTGTTGGGCCCACTTCAGTCATGAAAGAACCCTCCAAACTGTGCCACCTCTGAAATGTTACACTCTGGTTCCCCATTCTGTAAAATGCCATCCCGTCATCCCTATGTGTTGGGTGCCTCTATGTGTCAGGTACTGAGCTTATCACGGTCCCTTTTGGTACCTGGAACATAGTGGATGGTTAGTAAATGCTTGTTGCTTTGATTTGAATGGAATAAAACTTTCAATTTGAGTTGAATGACTAAAATAAATGATGATACTGGAAACTCTACAGGGCTTTTGAGCTTTTACAACTTATTGATATAATAAAATTATTTGTCTTCCAAAAACCTTATGGGGTAATTATAGGCAGATATTAGTGTTCTTCTCTAATAAGTTAGAAAACAAAGGCAGTCAACAAACAGAAAAATGTTTACTGGAGGTAACAGAGATGAGAGACCCTGAAAAGGACTTTAAAGTAAATATTTTATGTATTGAAGAGAGAAAGAACCATGTCACATTTGTGAATGAAGAATAAGAATAGGCAATTGAAAAAGAAATTTAAAAATGCATAAATTAAAAACACTATTGCTAAAACACAACAATAGCAGACTGGACTCCACTGAAGAAAGAATTAGTAGAAAGTTAAGCTGGAATTCCCAAAGGGATAAAATTGAAAGAAGACTTAAAAGACAAGGAGGAAAACCCTGAAGTTTCAACCTCCATCTAATAATAATTAGGGTAAATATATAGGAGAAATAATATTTGAAGATATATATAAAAACTTTCTCAGAATCCATTCCTTAATTGAACAAATACATGTTCAATGTGTACTATGGGTTAGGCATGGTTATTGTGTGCTGAACACACAGCAACACACAAGTACAGTAAGTTCCTGACTGCATGGAGCTTACATTCTGGCAGGAGGAAGAAGGTAAAAAACAAAGCCAATAAATACATTTAAAAAAGAGCAGTTATGGGTAGAAAAGTAAAACAAGGTGATGTGGCCAAGAGTGCTCTGTGTGTGTTGTGGGGCTTCTTTAGATCTGGTGGTCAGAGAAGGCCTGCCTAAGGAATACCACTTCCACTGGAGACAGAATCATAAGGAGAATCTTCCAGGCAGACACGGGAAGAAAGCTTTCCAGGCCAAGACGTTGGAGTAAAAGGTTAAGGTGAAATTAAGTAACTTATTCCAGGAAAAACCAGAAGGCCTGTATAGCTGACAAACTGTGTGTGTGTGTGTGTGTGTGTGTGTGTGTGTCAAGCAGAGGGCAGGAGATGAGATGACAGATGAAGCTCAGACCCACATTTTTAGGGCCTTTATAGGAGAGTGTAAGAAATTTTGATTTTACTCACAATGTGATTGGAAATCAGATTATAATTCCTTTAGATTGTGATGGTAAGTATGATAAAACAAAGCCATACTTAGACGTAATCTTGTTTTATTAATTATAAAGAAAAAACCCTAATACCTGCTGGAAAAAAAATAGATTACCTACAAAGGAAAAAGTAGCTGGTTGACATCGGACTTCTCATCAGCAACATTAGAAGGGAGAGGACAATGGAGCGATGTTATCAAAATACTTTTCCACACAGATTGACAAGATTCAAATGTCATTTCTGCCACTTACTACTTGAACAAGTTACTTCACCTTTTTAAGCCTCAGTTTCCTCATCTATAAAATGAGGGATAAAAACAGTTCCTGCTTCATAGGATTGTTCTGAGGATTAAATGAGTTAATATTTAAAAGCATTTAGAACAATGCCTAGTACCCATAAGTACTATATATACGCTGCTGCTATGAATAACAAACTCTTTTCAAATACACATGGAACATTCACAAGAATCGACTATGTACATCAGGTCACACAGGAAGCCTCAATAAATTTAACTTGTTAACTTGAAGACTGTATTTATGGGCCATAATGCAATAAAATTAGAAATCAACAACATATCATGAGAATTAAAATAATTCATGGTTTAAATAAGTAAATAAAAGATTTAGAGCTGAATATATTGAAAATATCAGGGTGCAAAGAAACACTCAAAAGGAAATGCACAGCCTTAAGTAAAGCAAACAAAACAAAACAGCCTGAGAATAAGTGAAGTAAGCTTTTCATTAAAACAAAATGCAAAATAAACCCAAAGTAAGTAGAAAGATGGGAATAATAAACAAAAAATTAATAAAATAAAAAGTAAAAAGGAGTTGATCGATGAAACAAAATGCTGATTCTCTGAAAAGACCAATACAATAGACAAATGGTTAACAACCATGATCAAGAAGAGAGGGCACATACAACATAGTCACAGGAAAGAAAACATCACCAGTTACAGAAGAAATTAAAAAATGGATTTAAGTGAATAGTATAAAGAGCCTTGTATCATACTGAAAACCCAAATAAAGTATACGTATTTATAAGAAAAATACTAATGACTAAAATTGGCCTCAGAAGTAGAAAAATCTAATTAAATCTACAAGTACACAAGAAATTTTAAAATCAGTTAAGGACCATTAGCCATCCCACCCACCTGTCCATGTTCTTTCCCTCATCCATTAAAACAACACCAGACACAGATAGTTTTAAGGATATGTTCTACCAAAACTTCAAGGAATATTACATAAACTGATCAAGAGCACAGCAAAAGAAGAAGAATCAAAGCTGATGTTCAAAGCAAACTTTAGTTTTATCTGAAATGTTCTAATCTTTATAAAGAAGAATACATTCAGGTATCCGAAGTGTAATTTTAAAATAATGCAAAAACAAACAAACAAACAAACAAACAAACCCCCAAAAGACAAAAACCAAAAAACTCAAAAGCAATGGGAAATGAAACAACTTACTGAAGGTTACCAGCCGGGAAAAAGCCTCAGAGTGTACCCACCTGTTCTAGCATACAATGCAGGATCAGGGGCACAGAAATGAATTCCTCCGGAATTGGATTCAGCAAGTCATTGTAATATCTCATGTCTACATCAGTTGTCATGAAGGCAGTCACTGTAAAATACAGAAAATATCGTTGCCCAATTGAGATGTGTTCTCCATTTCTTCATCACAGTTTCATGCTTAAATTCAAACTATGACCATGCATTGATAAAGGCAGGAACTGTAGGTGGAGGACGGGCTTATAGCAATGTCGAGGACACTTATTGTTCCTTAAAGTGCCAGGTCATGATGTTGATTCTCCAGCAACAGATTTTATACGTGCCTGATGCTGCTGGAGCTTGTGGCTCTTCATATTGCGCTTTCTTCTTTCCGGGGGTTGGAGCAGCGGACTGTGGAGCCTATAAGAAGAATAATCAGAAAGAAACAACTGAGATATCCATCTGAGAGGTGCTTTCATAAAATGCTGGTGTGAGGGGATCCAAGAGGATTCTGAAATTACATAACTATATTCACACCACAAAATCATCTGCTAATATTAGGATCAAAGGAAAGAGGTTTTGTCTGAGGAAGGAAAGAAGCTAATAGGTTTGGATGCTATTTGGTTTTTCCTAACGGAGCCCACTGAGCAACTCTGGGGGAAGTGATGGGGTAACGGGGCACTGAGAATCGAAAAGTTTTTCTTCCCTGGGTGACTCAGAGTCATGCCATTCTCCCTCTTAAAATCCTTCTGTGTGGGCCGCCCCGTGGCGCACTCAGGAGAGTGCGGCGCTGGGAGCGCAGCGATGCTGCTGCCGCGGGTTCGGATCCTATATAGGAATGGCCGGTGCACTCACTGGCTGAGCGCGGTGCAGGCAACACCACCCCAAGGGTTGCGATCCCCTTACCGGTCACGAAAAAGACAAAAAAAAAAAAAAAAAAAATCCTTCTGTTTCTCCATTGCCTTCAGGATAAAACCCAGACTCTACCTTAGCACCAAAGGACAATTATGATGTGGCTCCCGCCTCTCCAGCTTTAGTTCATGCTGTCGTTCTCCACTTTGCAGCCTAAGAACACTGAGCTGCCCAGTGCTCCTGGCTTGTGCCATATGCAACTTTTCTTTAACTCCCTATCTTTGCACATCTTTGCCCCTTTCTTAAGGATACCATTCTGTCCCTTTCTCCCATCAGGCTTTCCATTAGGCATACATACTCTGTCTTCACCATATCACTAACCCTGGTAAGATTTTTCTGACTCCCCCGCTCTCCAGCCTACTCTTCCCTCGGTCAGGCGAGGTACCATTTTTAATTGCTTCTATGGCCATCTGAGCTGACTGCTCTCCTAGCATTCGCTGTGCTCTGCTGAAACTGTTGTCTACTTGACTGCTGACCCCTTTAAATGTTAAGCTCAGTGAGCAGGACAGGAAATGAGTCTTCATTATTGTATTGCCAGCATCTTGCACAGTGCTAGCAGATGGTAGGTGCTAAATAAATATTGTGGTTACTTTATCAATATCTCTCCATGTTCCCGACATTATTCATTGTACCATGTGATGACAGGTGCTTCCAACCTCTCCTTTACAGGTGTCAGGGTGTTGAGGAGCTTCATAATGCTCCCACCACATACCTGCCCTTCAAGACTATGCTTGGAGGCTTTTTACTTGTTCGTACCCTCACCTATTAAATTCCAGCAAATTCTATTACCTTCATACAAGTATTTATGTAATGTTTTTCTTCACATGTGTTATAAATGTGAAAATTAAGTTGTTCAGTTAATCTCATTCAGCCCACTGAAGACCCTTTGAGCCCCTGCCTACCTCAGAAATCAACATGGCTTCCAAGATAGGTTTCTCATTAACCACCTGTGGGACATTAATAAGCTGCATTCTTTCCAAATAATGTTGGTACTGTCTTTTCCAATCCAGGGTGTCATACATCAAACAGGCAATATTCTCAAAAATATTCGTGCCCAATTCCAGCTATAGGTGAGAAAATTCATGACAATTGGTTATTAGTTTCATACTGTTCAAATCAGATATATGGTTTGTATCTCTCTTAACAGCTAAGCTATCAACTTTTTGCAGGGAAGCAAACCTCCGAATCCCCAAAGCACTGGATCCCAGCCATGGTGAACAAGTCTTCATACGAGACCCCTTCATGTGCTTCTTGTTCACCACGTAGACCATTCCCTTCAGAGGGCTGAATGGCTGCCTACCATTGCAAGAGCCTAATTAAAGCTTCAAACAAGGGAAAAGCAACCTAGTCATTAGTTTCAGCAGTGAGACCTATATTTTTGGTATCTCAATTCTTAAAACATGTTAGGTAATACTGATATCCTCAGCCAAAGACAAGCTATCGATGATTTCTTGCCTGGCTGTGTAAGGAGCAAAATGGAACCACTTGACTAGCTTTGTGTACTATCCACCCAAGCACGCTGCAGTATGTGTGCCATTAATATTTATTCTTTTCCTCCCTGCCCCCCCTTGTTTCACCTGTGCTACCATTAAGGAAAAACATTCAGAAATCCTGATAGACTATTGCTTCTATAACACTCACCTATTTTACAAGCTGGCAAGCAAATTACAGATCAGATACCCCTATTACCTGGTCTTTCATTTCCAGAAGTAGAAAAGCACTGTGATGGCTGGGTCTGTCTGCTTGAAAGCAATGAAGGATTAAGTAGGCTCATCTTGTGTCTGAGTTGAAGAGGTGAGGAAGAATGAGAGAGCTTCTTGTGGGGCCCGTGAATCCCAGACTGGCAGAAGTCCAATGAAATGCATAGCTCTGCCCATCATGGTATACCTGTCCACTTGACTTCACATGCCCATGCTAAGACTGAGTGCTCTTCAGTTAAGCTTCGACCTGGTATTCCTTGCCCAAATTCTGGCATAAAAATACTTTCCTTTTTGTTTATATTTCTAGGAAATATAGTAAACCTTCTGCCATTAGCTTAACTGAGCTAACTCGTTTTTAAATCAAATAGCAAATCACATGCTAAAGGCCAGCAAATTATTTCAGCAAGCAGGGTTTTAACTTGAGATGTTGCAGATGTCTTACACAAACAGTTAGCACATCTTGATGGACATTTATTTGGTGAAAAGCTTTCACTATCTTGGTTCAGCAGAAATACAGCCTGCTTGTTTGCAGCCGAAGGTTGCAAATGCTTTCCTCCATCCAGAGAGGAAAAAGGACTCCCTGGCTCCTACCTTGGATATGAGGCCATTATCGATCTACAGATATAGCTGAAAGTGTGACACCTTCTAATTGGTCTGTTTCTACCAGAAGTATTTTTATCACTTTTATGTTTATTAGGTGTTTAAAATAACCTTTGATCTTCAATATCAAATCCAATGGCCTTTTCTTCTGGAATCCTACTTTATTACTGAACCATTTTCAAGTCTTTCCTTCCCCATTGTCTTCAATGCTCGGTCCTTCACTCACAAACTATATCTTGTAGAGGCATGCCTGGCCTCCAAAAGGTCAAACCCAGACCACAGCCCTGGCCTGAGGATGATGTTCAACAAGTACTTGCAAATTAATAGGTGACCAGTGTGACCACTGAGCAGAATAGCCCTAACTAGTTCTCTAGAGAACTGAATATTTTCCCTGCTGAGAGTTATCTTCATGGCCCAGCTAGACACCTGTACAGTCATCTTCTAGTTCTGAAGTCAGGAATGTTCTACCATAACTAATATTTTAACTAAGCTGGTGATAGCTTTTCAACATAAGATACTTTTTATAAACTTTAACTGCCACTTAAACTCTTCTACTCAATATTTTTTTAAAAAGTAAGATATAGCCAGTATCACTTTCTTTAGAATCAAGGGATTAAAATCTTCTAATGAACAGGAAATTGTGGACACTAGAGTAGGAAGCAGAATGCTCGGAGTGGTGCTGGGTCTTCTGACATTGTGATTGGAGGCCACGGTGTTCATGTCTATGTCCTGGGATGCAAGGGGATGTACTCCCCTTTGGATCCAGTACATACCAGCTTTTTTCAGTTTGTGCCTGGAGACTAAAGAAGACACACAGAAGGAAGCTCTTGCTAGAGAAGGAGCAAAAGGTATTTGGTTTGAGGTTGCCTTAAAGAAGCCTCCTCTGGATTATGGTTCAGGAAATATATGGCTTGGATCTCTTATGCCCTATTGAACCAAAAATGTACACAAGTTCTTGACAGGGTGTGAGTATGCAGCCAGGCCTTGGCCCAAATGAGAGGAGGTGTGTTTCTCCAAAATGTAAATTTGTGGATGTGGACTTTATTAGCCATAGATTTTATGTGCTTGGGAGAAGAGCCAGTCTATAGGAGAGAAAGAATAGAAAGCTGGTTTTGAGGTGGGATTTCAGGATCTCAGGGAAATAGCCTCTTCCCCAAACTTATATTTATTGGGTATAATCTAGAATTTCAATAAAATGGGATGGAATATTAATAGTACTATATTACTTGGAATGCCAGTATCTCTGGAATAGGAATACGTACTGACCCAATTTAACATGAAGCAGTAAGGAACAGATAACAGGGAGGTGACAGTGGGTCCTTTTCTGAGTTCAGGTTTAGGAGGCAGAGAGTGAAAGGCAAAGCAGGAAAGCTGAGCATATCTAGACAAAGTGGCAGGGAGAGGCAAATTAAAGAGAATCTGGAGTAACCAGTTTTGCCTAGAACTAGCTCGGCCTTCAGTCGCAGCTTTTCTATGTCCACCTTCATTTTCCATAAATGAGATCCAGCACACGGCTAATATTCATTCTTGCTGTTGGCAAGGTATCAGACTTGAGTGTCCTGTTTCTGTGTAGTGACATCTAACTTGCCTAGAACTAGCTCGGCCTTCAGTCGCAGCTTTTCTGTGTCCACCTTCATTTTCCATAAATGAGATCCAGCACATAGCTAATAGTCATTCTTGCTGTTGGCAAGGTATCAGACTTGAGTGTCCTGTTTCTGTGTAGTGACATCTAACACCTTATGTTAAGAGTCCTTATAACTCAACCTTATCATTGCCACTGATTCAAGTCCTGTCATTCCTTCAGGGTTCAGATCTGGCCTCCTCAGTGTTTTCACTCAGGTCCCCAAGTGCACGTCCATCTCCAGGTAACAGAAGTGGGAGCTCTCAGAGTCAGAAGTGTCCATGCCCCAGCCATGGCCATGGGCAGCCTACGCTGTGGTGCAGAAACAGTTCTGGGCTTTGATCTCAAATTCACACAGCCACCATCCACCCCACCGCCCTGCTTTTCCCAGCTTCTTCAGAGCACTCACTTGGTGTAGTCCCTCGCTAGGACTCTGTTTTCATCTCAGCTCTCTCGATGCTGGAATATGTAGCCATGCAGGGAATTCAACATTCCCATGCCTCTCTGTTTGTTGGGAAAAGGGGGTCAACCAGGAGGGGACCTGAGAGCTTTTCTATAACAGAGGATGTCTCAATACCTTCAACAACAAACTTGATGAGTAGTCACTTGCCCTTCTTTAAAAAAAATGCCCTCATGTATCTGGCATTTACTTCTTTTCTATGCATCCCATATATGCTTTTTCTGAATTAATGGGAAACTTAGAGAGAGGACCCAGATGTACGGCACCTTGACCACTGCTTCTTTGTTTCATGGCTTTAGTCTTGCCTCTCTGGCAAGCTCCTCACTAGCATGGACAAGTCTATCTATGAAGGTAGACATTGTCGGCCAAATATATCAAAAAGAAGATTTTGGCAATAAAAGCAAGGGCTTAGAAAAACAGTGTTTGAACTGATACATAAAAAATACAGATGTGTAACTCAAAAAACTATAACACTTACTATTTGCACAATTGATATACATGAAAATTCCAATTACTGCCTAGAACATTGCTGAGGTAGGAAACAAAGCCACATGTCACCAAATAAAAGAATTCCCATTCTTTATCTTCATTTACTACATCTAATTCTTTGTCATTAATTTATATACTAAAAGCTAAAGGATCAGACTATGAACATCATTGGGCATTCAATGTTATCATTGTCCTAAAGATAAAAGAGCCTAGCACAAAGCGTTATAGTCAGTTCTCAGTGAATATATGTGGAATGAATGAATAAGCAGAAGCACAGTGTCACATGCTGTTAGAACCGTGGTCTCTCACTAAAGCATGTACTGACCATTAACTCGTTGTCTGACCAGTCAGAAGGAAAATCAGCTTCTTTGACCATATATTCAAGTCGAGCGACATCAAAGAGATTTGTTTCAGGTTTCTCATTATTCAGGATGGATTCCAAGTACTTCCAGAAAATTTCAAGTTCTTTTATGGAACTCTCTTTCTTCAATTTTTCAGCTTCTATATCTAAAAATAACAACATGTTTATACTACAAAATGAGAGTGTTGGATTCCCTTCTACTTTAAATGGACATGGTGAGTTCATATGCATTGCAAAATGTCTGTACAGTACCAGAAAATGCAAATAAAAAAAGGTAATTTTGAGAAGTTTTCAAAACTGGTCTATAGAGTTATGAAATCAGAGGATTTTATTTCTGAGATTGATATTAAATATGAGCTTATCCCACCTCTTCATTTCACAGTTGAGGACCAGAAAGGTTATGACAAGGCCACACATTTTGGAGCTAAATATGTTTAAGATTTCCATCACTTAGATTGCATTTATAGAGGGCCAGGTTTTCTTCCAAATCACTCTTTGACCATTTAAAGTGTCTACTATGAAACTGGTCAGAAATGCATTTGATCCAATTTTCCTTCTCACATGGCTAAAAACAGACTGGATCAATGATTTATGCCTCAGTTAACCTTTGGTCACATTAAAATAGCAACAGGCTTTCCTGGGCATCTGCACTCTGTAAAATAATCACAGATTTCCATTAAGTTACACTTGAAAATTTGCTTGAAATGTTTATATTTATTACATCTGTAAATAAATAATAGTCTCTACTACTAAGATCTCATTATTCTATTATAACATCTATTTTTCTATTATTTTACTTTTATACATTAAATATTTTTTATAGAAAGCCTGTGTTTGGAGCTTACGCAGCATTTTTTCACTGGCTTCAATAAGAAATTATTTAAAGTTACAACCTTTCTTTGAGGTAGTCAGGAGTAGCCTAGATTTGAATCTCAGCCCTTTTACTTAATAGCTGCCTTTAGGATGAGAGTCCTTTTTGGTAAAATGGAAATAAAATATAATTTCTAGAGTTGCTTTTAAAACTACATGAACCAATGCACTTAAAGCCTTTAGCATTGAGCCTAGTCCCAAGACATGTGCCCAATATAATGGTAGCTGTTATTATTATCAGGGTAGTGATTTCTAACTTTGAACAGCAATTTAAAAAAAAGTAGTGTTAGAGAAATTGGGATGTAGCTATGTAAGTTACAAATCTCTGCACAAATAGTATTAATACTAAATAACAATAAAAGCAACAGCCTATGGCAGAAAGAGCTAGATTTCTGGTAATAAAAAAAGTAGTGTTAGAGAAATTGGGATGTAGCTATGTAAGTTACAAATCTCTGCACAAATAATATTAATACTAAATAACAATAAAAGCAACAGCCTATGGCAGAAAGAGCTAGATTTCTGGTAACACAGATGTACACCAAATCCCAGTTCAATTACGTAAAGAATGCAGTAGGTTTTTGCTCCCTTTTCACAGAGAAAATTAGCACAATTCCCTTAGATGAAGATCCCAAGGCTCAAAATGGCTAAATGGTAGCAGGGTTGGGACTTCATACCATAGCTTCCTAGTCTAAGGCCAGGAAGATAAAGCACTCCTTCTGACTTATTGCAATAAGCCAATAGCAGAGCAAGAATTCAAGGCTATGACCATCCTTTGGTCACTTAGTGACTGTAACTTCTGCAAGGACAGGTGATCAACAGTGATCCATCCAACCCATGCTTTAGGTAAAAATTATAGATCAAATGTAGTTGGATAACCCAGTCCTCTGACCTGCAGTGTCTGTTTTCTGTGGTTACACAGGGATATAAATACAGAGTATGATTTTAATTTGCAAAATTTATATCAACAGTGATCCATCCAACCCATGCTTTAGGTAAAAATTATAGATCAAATGTAGTTGGATAACCCAGTCCTCTGACATGCAGTCTCTGTTTTCTGTGGTTACACAGGGATATAAATACAGAGTATGATTTTAATTTGCAAAATTTATAACACTTGGCTGGTGCAAGCAGAATAAATAGCAAATCAAAGTCCTGAAAAATTTAATAATGTATGTATTGTATGACTATGTTTTGGACAGCAAATTATATTTGTACTTTAAGGATAGTGGGTAATATTGAAGGACTCAGTAAGTTGTGTAGCAGACTACATACCTTCTGGCTGAAGAAGAGCTTCCTGCTGCTGGCTAACTGCTGCCAGGTGTGTCTGCAGAGGTTCATAATTCTCTGAAGATATTTTAATCACACTGGTTATAGAAATGCCAAGCTCAGTCATAATTGCTAATAGCTGAGGATTGTTGAAGCCCACAACTATAATGTAATGTTGGGCACCATCATCTGGCTCATCGTCTGTTCAAAATACCATAAAGAAGAGAAGCCATCACTGTACAAGAGAACAGGTTGTATTCAGCCAGTTCAATCGCCATGTACATTATGTATGCATTTATAATCCCTCTGGCTTGCCAAAAACAATCCAGTTGGCTGGAATGCAGTCATGTTGACTGTTTCTCATTACTGTCCTTCCAATAAGAAGGCTGTGGCCATTTTACAAAATATTAAATCACTTTGGAAACGAGACATAGGCAGAATAGGCGGACAAACATACATGAGGCCTGTGGTCATGGAAAATGTGTGCTTGGGTTTTTGTCAGAGTTTAGCTTGTAACTTTTTGCTGGTTCTAATCTCTTTTGAGCCACATCTGGCTTTACTCCTGAATTACGAGTTGCTGCAGCTTTGTGGTATTTTATAAGCAAAGGTGTTTACAGGAGAGGGAAATATTGAATATGGAAGTGCTCCCTACCAAAGTATTGTACACATTTACCTCAGTGGGGGTGAATCCTGACTATGGGTTCTATAGCAACTATATATTTATTGTATTAAATTTTTAAAACACATATTGTGCACTTTCTTAAATTTTCTCCCCTATTTTGCTGTAGTTATACTGTTTTATTAATATTAAATCAAGTTTATTTTAGAATATAATATTCTGGAGTGTGAAATTAATAGTTATACTTTAACATTGATAGTACATGGTACATGAAAACGTTATATTTCACAGTAGCCCATTAAGATCAATTTACAAGTACTGCAACAGATGCACAACTTTTAATTTTTAAGTAATGATTTTTCTTTTATTACTAAACAAATCAGTATTGATATTACCCATGAAACCCAAAAGATGATTGTTTCTAGCAGATTTAGAGCAGAGATACATGAGGAGTCAACTGGTGAAGGATATGAAAGCCTACCACTCTCTTATTTAAATATGATGGAGCTAATGAGATGTAGCTCCACTTGGGTTGAAGGGAAAGCAGCAGCAAATTAGTTATAGCTGCCCAGGACAAGTTATTTTTTTATCGATAATCTAAAATAAAAGAAAATTCTAGTTGCTCTATCTAGAACAAAATGATAGTGGGAGAAGTTGGGGTCAGAAATTAACTGGATTTTATTCATAACGAAACTGCATTTCATTCATGCCAGTAATCACTTTTTACTTTACTTTAGAATTATGTCTGACATATTTTTTTTTTTTTTATGTTTCCAACAAGACGATAAGCTCCTGGGTGGCACAATCAGCTGGCTATTTCATCCTTTGTCAGCACTATGTAAATGTACCTAGCAAAGCATACTAAATAAACATTTGCTTTAAAACATAACTGAATTGCAAATAGAAATATGTTTCTGTTAGTGCCATGAGTAGTAAGTGACTTGTGTTTTTATAAAGAGTGAAAGGGCTGGGAAAGATTAAGCACAGTGATTAGAATGATTTCTCAAGGTACGTCACAGCTCGTTAAGCAGGAAGTGAAAGGCAGCAACAGAGCAGCACCTCACTGACCAATGTAACGTTTGGCGTCATCGTCTTCTCCCCTCCGTTTTAACTGGGTGGCCTTTTTCACTGTCGTGTTGGACTCGGTCTGATCCTTTCCCTTTCCCTTGGCAACCTTGGCACCTGCAGACTTCTTCTCCTTGGGAGATTTTGCTTTCCCTTTATCCTTTTCTAACTTAAATCTGTCTTCTGTCACCTAGAAAGAGAGAATATTTTTTCTCCAAATCATATAGTGAGCAAGCAATGGCTTTTCCACTGTCAGGTGAATTAATTCTTCATTTCATTTGATTGTTTTTTACTCATTTATTTTTCATTTATTCATCCTTCAAGCCAGGATAATGGATAATCCAGCTTGAGTCTCTGTTTTGATCAGCCTATCTATGCATGAGGACTGGGGGGTTGTGAGCCAGGAAGCTGGTTACACAAAGAGCCTTCTGGAAGAGAATTCATCCTAGAGGAGAGTCAAGTGACCTAATAAACCACGTAAGCTGCTTGCAGGCAGGGTGGGAGGCTGATTCTGAGTACATCGTGGTGTTAGGAATTTACGTTTATCTTTTAGCCTAACCCTGAGGAGCCTCTATCTGAGTCTTAGAGAGAGGTTGGTTTGATCATTAAAAACAAAACAAAAATTAAAAAGAAAAAGAAAAACAGAAAGAGCCATTTTCTCTAAAATCTCCTTGATAAAATTTTTCATAGTTTAAGTAATGTATTGACCATTTTTAAAGGTTAAAAGATTCCACTGGGAACCTAGCCCTAACAAATTATTTTTATTATAATCCTAATTCAAAATATATAGACATCACCAGTGGTTGCTGTTTGATACATTCAAAGATGAGATCAGAACAAAACATCAGTTGGCAACACAAATCCTTTACACACCCCTCTGGGGCACGCTTAGATTGCCAGGTACCATGTAAAGATCCAATTCTCCTGCCAATTTTTTCCCCCCAAACAATTGCTGAAACCATCGTGCAGTATATCATAATGCAATTACTCTTTCAATTCATGTATTTATAAGTATAAACTGGTTGTAGTCATTGAAATAATGTGACAGTACTGGATCACAAGGTGGTCATACAGAAAATCCAGAAGTCCCAACTTCGCGGCAGAGAAGTCCAAATTTTGCCATCAAAACCCACCAGAAACTTTCACAACTGCAATTTTAAATAAAATCTCAGGGTGATCTTTTGATCTGAAAAGAAGAAATTACTTTAGGTTAAATTATTCTAAAGTTAACTTGGAAGAATAAACATTTTTTCCTTTATATATTCATTCGTTTATCTCACCATTCCACAGATATTTGCTGAGTCCAGTAGAAGTCTTTAAAAAGGCGTTTTTTTGTCCTCCCCCTTCTCTGCTCTCCCCAACTCCCCATCACTAGGTAGTACAGTAAGGATCCCTCTGGCTCTGCAGGCTGTCCTAGGTGGGGCACGAGAGCCCCTGAGAGCCCATGCAGCCACATCGGGCACCTCCCTTTGGGGCTTCTTTAGCAAAGGTTGCAGTTCTATGAGTTCAGGAACTCCCTGGGCCCTTTCTCCTGGGATTCCAGAGAGAGAAGGGCTGACCACAACCAAAAACCAAGGTAAGTGGTAAATTCTAGTGGCAGAGCTTAGTTATGCAGTATGAAGGTGCTTTCAGACATTATCTGATTTGATCTCACTAAGCAATCTGCAAGGTGGGTAATTTTATTCCCATAGTATGAATTAAGACGCAGTTTGTCCTGAGATGCACAGCTGTGGCAGAGACACAAGCTGGTTTGACTCCAAACCCCTAAACTCATTTTATGTCTAAGGTTCTCTTGTCAGTCTCTTTCTTTGATGCTCTCCCCTCTTCTTCTCCATGCATGTCTGTCCTCCCTCCACTCTGTCTTTAGCTGGTTTGACTCCAAACCCCTAAACTCATTTTATGTCTAAGGTTCTCTTGTCAGTCTGTTTCTTTGATGCTCTCCCCTCTTCTTCTCCATGCATGTCTGTCCTCCCTCCACTCTGTCTTTCCAGAGGCTGCGTAATGCTCGGGGGATGCTCCTTCCTTTCTCTGGAGTACTCCTCCTCCCTCAGCTGCTCCTCCTCTCACCGCCCTCTTCCTCTCCCTTCTCTGCCTTTCATTCTGCTTTGCATTCCTTTAGCCAGGCCAGACTTGGGAGGCTGGAGAAAAGCATCTGTTAAGCTAATTTTCTTTAACACTGAAGTTATCAATATCTACCTCCCTCAACTTCACATAAGTCTTTTTAAAGAGGACCCTTATAAATCCTGATTCACTTCTTTAAATAACATTTTTATTATAAAATAATAATCAATATTGAAAAATTGGAAAAAAGATAGAGAACTTACAAAACTAAACATAATTTTACCATCCAGGGAAGATGGGGTGAAGAGAATATTTAATGCATTCTTTCAAATTAATTGTTTGCATTATTTTTACATAATTGTTATCGTTCTTTCTATACCACTTGGTGTCTTGTTACAATGATACATCTTCAATTGGTAGAATTTCAAGAAGTATTGCTCTGTAAAGGATTTCTTAGGTTGAGAAAGAATTCTCTGGTGTAGAGCAACTGTAAGGCAGAGAATAGAAGTGGATGGAAGCTCCTGGGTCCTCCTGGGCTCCATAGCCAGGCAAAGATGTCCCTGGTAAGTTTCTGAACATGTTCCTTGCCCTACCTCATCCCTTCTGCTTGCCCATGGCTGACTCAACGACGGTCTTCCTACTTGTCTCCTGTGTTCAGTCTGTTCCTCACTTCTCCCCATTTCCAAACTCAAGCTGGACCAGGACAGCCCCTTTGCCCCTCTGGTTTGGACAGTGATTGACTGCTTGGCCCCTAGAACTTTATGTTGGTCAAAAGGTAAAACATCTTTTTCTACCAAGCCCCAATCATAGGAAAATTCTCTCCCATCTTTTCTTCCCCTTCTCTTATTTTCTGAGTAAGCCCCTCCCACCTATGGGTTTATGTCCTAGGATTTGTGGGTGGGGAGGGAACAAACCAGACTAGGTAAGCATTCAGCAAAGCTGACTCCCCAAATCATAGACTAAAGTTTGTTTACACAAACTCTTTCTCTGGCCTTTCTTGCTTGCTTTCATAGCACGCATGTTCCCATACTATGGTCATCTGCTCACAACTGAAAAGACTCAGAGGGAACTCTTGCCAATTCAAGAAAAATATTTAGGAGGGGTGTATCCAAAAAGTCCCTTTTTTCCACCGTGTTTGGGGGACACATGTTTCCTGGCATATAAAGGGAGGGTCAAGTTTGTTACAGAGTACATGTTCTTTAGAATGCAGCAAGTACGGAAAGCATCTGGATGCCTCCTACTGTGAGTAGGCTTTGGATACACACAAAGATTTCTTAGCCAGTTGAGCTACATAGCAGATGTGGGGTTCTTGTCTTAGCAATAAGCAAAACAGTGGTAGCATTTCGCATACTCAGTTGAGTATTGAATGACACCTACCTAGAATCCTTAATCTCATTCTCACTTTTTAAAGGGAGAAATAAAATATTCTCCTCTGAAACATGGCAACCTAGTACTTTGACACCTCAAAATATTTTAGATAATTTTTATCTCTAAATGACTTGTTGATGTCAAAATTCAAATATAATTAATAGATATTCACTCTCCTATTTCTCACGATGAAAGGGACATAAATGGTGAAATTCAGTGGAACTGATGGTACATAGCTATGCTTCATCTTGTTCTTATAGTTAATAATGCATCTACATATTTATGTATAACTTTTTATTTCATATATGATCTATAACAAGATCATCCCAATAATATTATTAAGGATATAGGTATAAAAACATGCTCATGGAGGTTGTGACTAACTATCTCCATTATTATGTGGTTCATGAGAAACTGGGTCTTCTGGGTGCTACTCTGGTTCTCTTCCAAGATGTCACTCTATCTCATAACAATCTATTCCACTGTCCCAGACAGTGGGAGCTCAAGAGATGGGCTGAAAGACTGTCTAGGGTCAAATAAGTTTGAGAGACAGTAGGTTAAACAATATTAAACAGATTTATTTTTGTAAAACGTCTACATCTCTAATCAGCTACTGTGTTGCTAAATCTCCAAGAGTTGTATGTAATACACAGCGATTTCAAATTTGTTTGACCAGGAGGCCATTTTTTTTTTTTAATAGAGAACTGGGTCTAAATGGTCATAGAATTCACTTTACAAGTTATGGGAACATTTGTGGGCCCAATTAATCCAGTTATAAAAATCTATGCTAAGGAAATTACCCAAAATATAGAGAAGTCTATACTAAAAAGTATATTGTTTACTATAAAGCATATGGAAATAACTTAAATATTCAACAATAGAAGAATGGTTAAGAAAATTATGGTAGTCAATAGAATATCACACAACCGATAATAACGATAGATGCAGATACTGTGGTGATGAGTAAAAGTTTTGATACATTCTAACTGAAAGAAAGCTGGATTAAAATGGTTTTACAATGATTACAGCTATGAAAAGAAACAAATCCACAGAAAGAAACATACCAAAATCTTAACATTAATTGTAATAGTGTTATGGCATTGTGAATGTTTTGTTTTTCCGTTTCTGTATTTTTTGTCTATTCCCTCATGATCTGCTCCCCTTCTAGGCCCCTCTACCCCGTTTATCCACTGAATAGAAAATATAACGCATGGATTTTAGTTAGGAACTTGCTTCTCCAGAGAGCTGCTATGGTGTAGAAAAGAGAAGCTTAGGAATGTATTAGGTTCACTGGACCAAATGATGTAATGATTAGAACCCAGCAGAATGTCGGGAGTGCTGCATTGCCATCTTTAGGGTGCAGCTCCTAATTCACAGAATCAGAACATGGCCGTGTCTTTGTGGTGGTGGTGGTGAGGGGAGTGGGTCTGATGTCTGTCTCCTGCAGGATCCTATGTGACTACTCCTAATTCTCAGAATCAGAACATGGCCATGTCTGTGTGGTGGTGGTGGTGAGGGGAGTGGGTCTGATGTCTGTCTCCTGCAGGATCCTATGTGACTCTGAGAAACTTTGCCAGTTCTACCTTACCATCCAGAAGAGCAGGGAGCAGGTGAGGAGGTTTGGAATAATCTCAGAAAGTTTAGTTTTAACATATTACCCCAGAGACTAAGTCATTTCTGGGTCGTGTTGCAGGCGGGGGTAGGGGAGGACTGAAAATTAAATAAGGATTTCTTTGGGAATTGGTGGCCTTTGTGTTTGGTGATTTTTTTTTCTTCTCTTTGACCGCTGTCCCCACATTGAAGCTTAGGATGTTGTATACAACGTAATTAGTAGGACCAGATGGCTGTTGGTAGATCACTGAGCAGTGAGGGCCATCGGTCCTTCAGGGGCTCATCTCTGGGCAGGCACTGACTGTGAGCCAAGAGTGCCATTTCATGATTATTGAGACACACTTGGGAGGCGTATGTACAGTGGTCAAGGTCTGTGGAGTCTGACAGTTTTGGATTTGAATCCCAGCTTCACCACTGAAAGTAGTTGTCTGTCTTTGGGGAAATTACTTTTCTGCCCTCAGTTTCCCCACCTGAAAATTGGGAATAATGCTCTCTACCTCAAAAAGTCAATTAAAAGCTTAAATGATAAAACATGCGTAAAGGACTTAGTACAGTGCCAAACAGTCAATAATGGTAACTAACTATTATTTTTAGCTACTGTAACCATAGCTATTACATATTTTAAAGTACTACTTTATTTTAAATACATTTCTTTAAATTTTTCCTGAAGCCCATAAAAAATTTTTATTAATTAAAAGCAAACCAAATAGTAAAGCATTACTTTATTTTAAAGATAATCCAGCCAGATCGTCATTTATTATTTCCCCTGAATTGCTGGGTTTGAAGCTCCTTAGATCCAGCATTCGTGCCGATAGTATCCACATTTTGATTATCCAGCCTCAAAGAATTCCATCCAGTTAGTGAGGCAAGTTATTCCTTTTCTGAAACCACACTGTTCCCTCTAAATTGAGTTCCTGCTCTTCCTCTGTTTAATTTCTTAAAATGGTTTCTGAAGATTTTAACCACAACTGAATCAAAACTAACCAGCCTGTAATTTCCTGGTATGTCCCTATGGCCTTTCTTTTAAAACAAAACACACACAAAAAATGGCATTACATTGGCTGGTTTCCAGCATTTCAGGATTTCGACTGGAGTAAGCTGGAAAACGTCTGTGAAAGCTACTCTAATTTCTCTTCGTCCGTCTCTTGGAGGAGGCTTTGGGCTGTTTGTGGCTTCATAATGATGTATTATCAAGCTTTGGCACTTTTAATTTTAAGTTGTTTTGAGAAAACTTTACCAAATACCCTCTCTCCATAGTTCTTTACTGCACATCTAATCTTCCTTCTCTTCAATTCTAGCACATCAGAAAATAAGGCAACTTGTACTAAGCATATGAACTAAAAAGAGAAAGAACTGTTCTTCTTTTATATAAAAGTTATGCTAACAATATCCAAGAAAAGATGAATCGGTTACTTGAATTCATAAGTTAAAAGCACAGTTAGAATGTATTTGGATCCTTTCCTAAATCCCATGCAAATATTCTGAACTCAACTTAGAGGCACATAAGACTAGATTTAGTCTGGCCAATTAGTTAAATGGTTAATGATTTTTTTGTATTTTAACCATTTTTTATTGATTTCTTTTGATGATTAATTATTTTTAGTTGAATTCTCAATAGAACTGAAATATTTTGATTCACAATTAAGTGTTTTGGTTTTAAATAAACGTACATAATTAATATGTAACATAAAAGTTGAAGTTAAAAAGAAGTAAAAATGTGAATGAAAATATAATATTCAGATAACAACTGAATTTTTTTTTTGTTGGCTGGCTGGTAAAGGGATCCAAATCCTTGACCTTGGTTTTATCAACACCATGCTCTAACCAACCGAGTAACTGGCCAGGCTGATAATGACTAGATTAAAATATAGATCAGAATAGAAACCAAGCAATTTATTTTAAAATCATAATAAACATTATGGGAATATATGTGCCCAGTACATTATTTCTGTAAATGTTTGTTTCAATATATGTTGAATTAATTAATTAACAACAGATTGATAATAATTAAACTAAAAATGAAAATAAATATTGAGGTAATGATGTAAAGAAAATTCATTTCTAAACAAAACATTCAAATTTTAAGATATAATAAAATCTAACTAATTGGGGATTATTGTGTGAGAGATAGTCACCTTCAGGCATTCTGAAATGTGAAAATATATTTCGAGAAATACAATATATTTTCTTCAAGATATGTATATTTGGAAGTAATCAACAAGGTGTTTCCAAATACTTAAATGTTTTCAAATAGACTTAACTTATTAGCAATTAGAAGTGACATTTGCGTTCCAGAAATTCATGTGCTAAAAGCTTCAAAACTGTTCTTAGAAATATTTTTCCTTGTATTTTTTATAATATTAATTAGCCAGCAAGCTTTCTTGAAAAATAGAAAGCAAAAGCAATGTTAAGTATAGCCCAGACTAAAATGTTATCAATTATTAAAGTTAATGGAGTCTAAAATAATAATATCTTTACTGTATTTAACAATCGAAAGCATATGAGGGTACCTCAAAAAAGTTCACGGAAAAATAGAGTTGAAGGTAATATGAATCTTTCCATGAGCTTTTTAAAGTACCTTCATATTATTTACCATTTACTTTTAAGAAAAGTTTTGATTGATTAAAACAGGATCAAATGTATAGTAAAATATTATATTTGTTCCATTGGAGAAAAAGAACAGGGACCTAATTATATTAGTTATTTTTTCCCTCACCTTTTCCCTAATATTTCCTATAATTACTGCTATCGATATTTTTTAAGCATTCATTCTTAATAATACAATTACAAAAATTAAACATAGAAGATACAAAACACTTATAAGTAACATAATTAGCATTTGAAAGAAAACATCTTTCATAGATTTCATATTGATGTTAAAAAGCTGAAGGATTAGTCACCCCCCTTGTACGAATCTCAGAACCTCATCCTGGTAGAAGATACAAAACACTTATAAGTAACATAATTAGCATTTGAAAGAAAACATCTTTCATAGATTTCATGTTGATGTTAAAAAGCTGAAGGATTAGTCACCCCCCTTGTACGAATCTCAGAACCTCATCCTGGGTTCAGAAAAGAAGAAGAGTTTGGGTAAAATCCTCTTTTCTTTTTCTTCTCTTTTTTTCATTTTCTAGTCCACTGCATGATGTCAGTTTTACATACTTTCTACTTATTTTGCTTTCTGTCAAACTCCTTGGCTGACAAGAGTTAACCTCAATCGTTCCAACTGACCTCTTGGGCAGTGTTGCTGAAATGAACACAGATTTTATCATTCCCCAAACTCCCTTCATCTCACCTGTACCAAGAGTATTTTTTGGAGAGTATTTGATTCCAATCAGTTTTCACCAATTTATTTAGCACTTACTCATATGGTTGCAACTCAGGGATTTAAGGCTAGTGCTTTGAGAACTCAAAATAGTGAAGACATCAAATTAGATTACGTAACTGCTGGCTCTTAATTGTGCAGAGTTCTCTTACTATATCTAATACTTTTTTTAATATCTAAAGTTTAAGCCCTAATTCCTTAGTAATCTCAAGTTTTCAACAAATAAATTAAGATTATTTCCATATCTTCAGAATCTTATAACTGTAGTATTATAGTTCACATTTCAAAGAAATGCCGAGCAAAATAACAGTACAGGAATATTTTTAGATCATTGCAAGCTTTAAAAACTTTTCCTGAGCTACTGGGATATTCCATTTATTTTTACATAAAAAGTTTAACTAAAATCTACAAACTACTCCTATAGTAAACAATTAGTGACTTATAATAGGTGGCAAACAAGTACATTGATGCTCTTCAGCACACTATTTGTAGGTGCTATGGGAAAGTACAAAGTAAACAGAAGGATTTTTTGCAAGACTCACACTCTACTTTTTATAATTCATATTCCCACATGACATTGGAATTTTAACATCCAAGCAGAGATGGTTCTACACTAGTTTCAAATTTTTCAATTTTTCTTCTGCCAAATCTTAACTCCCCTGAGTATTTCTTAGGGTACAAATCTGAATATGCTGAAAAGAGCTTCAATAGATGGAAATTATACCATCAACTATGTTCATACGAATAGAATTTTCTTGATGACAGTATACGCCACCCTAATAAGATGCTATGTGTGGATCTGTTTAAAAAAATATAAAGGCCTGTATTACAAATACAACATGGCATTATTATTTTTTTTCTACAATTATCCAGTCAATAGTACCATTCAAATAGGAAACATAGATTTGGGAGACTTGCAAAGGTGAAGAAGGTATTGTTGAAACATACTCATTTTTTTCTTCTTTCATGAATTGATTTTGCCTCTTTCACTTAAGAGCATAAAGAAATAACTTATATGCAAATTGATTTCATACACATATGTGCACACACACATTGCACGTGTACATACAGAAGCATTTGCCCTTCCAAAAATATTTTAGCATGATTTGGAAATTAAGAAAAACATCTTTTATCCCGAGTAATGATAATAGCAAATGGATTTGAAGCTGGCATCACTTTGCTAATATCTTAAAATATTTTTTCAGATGCAAAATGAATCTTTGGAAAACACACATATTGATATTTGTGGGCCAATTAAATAAAAAATCCATATGTGAAAAAATTATCAGACATATGAGATGAGAGTGGAAGTGATGATGAATTATTGCCGAAATATTCAGATTATTATGAAGGTGCAGATGTGCCTATTATTTTAGTAGGCATCCCTATCGAATATCACATAAAATATTTTAAATAGAACCTGACTTTAAGGTTTTTTTCCTTCCTTTTTATATTTACTTCTGCTGACTCCCTGTCTCTTCCCTGGGTTCCTTCTTTGCTACTATTATATAAATAAACTACCATAAAAACAATCTGGGATACATTCCCTGAATATTGTCATTTTCATATGCAAGGGAACATTTTTTTTAATGGATTTATCATAATTCCTCCAATAGGTTCTTGAATAGAATTTTCCCCAAGAAGTTGAGGCGACCGCTAAATTTGCTGGGTAACTCTTAATGGTAGGCTTAAGAAGAGAGGAAGTGCCCCTGGAGAAACTGGGCACTGTTTCATTCACTACTTGCCCTTTTAAGAAAACCCACCGTATCGTACAGTACCTTCTTTTCGTTTTCCCGTCGCTGCTGGTCCTTCGATTTAATCTGGAGAAGTTGAAACTTTAAGAGTTTCCCTATCAGTGGTAAGGTTAATTTCTCTCCACTATCCATAATTGTTTTTGCTGCCATTAACACCTATGAAGAAACACAGTTATTAGGAAAAGTGACATTTTATAACCTTTGACACAGTTTATCAGCTATGAAAAGATGAAAGGATATTTTACATTTTGTAATATTTGTCTTACTGCAAAGGTGCTTCATTACTGGCTAAAAGCAAATTAGGGAAAAGTGCCCCAATGCCAGAGAGAAGCATTTACCCTCTACTTTGAATAAATTGGTTGTCTGGATGTCAATTTCTTTTCACACAATGGTGTTAGACATAGATTCTCAAAAAAGGGTAGAGGAAAGATAGGCTGGGCTCCATTTTAGGATGACTGTCAGTTTCTGCTACAGAAAGCCTAGTATCATTTGGCATAGCCAGTAGTCCAAACTCTCAAACGGTGACTTATTAGGACGTTATAAGTTAAATAGGGTTTTACAATAGTGGAAATGACTATATTAGCAGTCTTTTATTTCTTCGTGACCAGATTCAAATGAAAGATAAAAGCTGCTTCACACTAAGGTGCCATATGAATGCTGCTCCACCCATGCAACTGAATGTTGATCCTTTTGGTATGCAGCCTAATTGGGGTGAAATAAGGTTATTGAGGTTTTTTGGGGGTGATGACAGCCACTAGGAACATACAGCTGTATTGTCCAGATGTGTGGCACTGACAGCCTGCTTTATGACTGTGTTTTTTACAGCTTGTTTCCCCTAAATTTCACACGACTCTCTAACATCTGGGCCCTTTTCCTTGGAGCCCTATAACCACTTTATTTACTGCCAAAAAATAAAAAAAATAAAAATAAAATCATGTAAATTATACCATAAAAAGTTGTTACCTGTTTCTGCTTATTCATGTTGTCTCCCTAATAAAATTCACCTCTGCCTGAAGCACTGTCACAGACGTAATCTAGTTAAAGTATTTTTTGACTTTTGTTTTTAAGCAAGCATCATATTTATTTATAACCTTGGGATGAATTAGGTGTTACTAAAATGTTCTGACACGTTGTTTTTCTCCCCCCTTGGAGCAATCACTTGTCCGGACGCATATGGTGTCAATTTCAGCCCCTCGGTCTCAGACAATGACTGTGTACACTGCATCTCATGGACCTGTGTCTTGTCTGAGGTTTATACGAGCTCTTGGTCAGGGCTTTCCTGACCGGTCCAGTTCCTTTTGACTTTCCACTTTGCCAAGGGAAATAGCTGAGAGAAAGGGAGGGGCTTATTTCACTTCTAGCTGCGGAAAGCCCCATGGGTTATCATGTGCCAAAATGTAACTGGACCTCTTAGAGTCCACATCGGGGTTTCCCCCATTGCAATGCCGAAGGAGAAAGACAGGGAAAGGATTCCCAAACCAAGCATTAGAATGTTTTGCGCGTGTCTAAGTGAACACTCTCCAGGAAACGTAGAGCTTTGCTTTTTAGGCAGTTCTGCTCCTGCTAACAGGATTTAGTGAAAAGGGACATGATGGCTGTGATTTCTGAGAGCAGGAAAATGTAACAGTACACCTGCAGAACCTCACCATTTCATGATGACCATATCCAAGATGGAAGGAAATCCTAAGGGGACCAGAGGTCAGGCGTTTACTGTCAAATGAAAGCTGTCTGACTGAGTCCAGCCCCAAGAGTAGATGTCAATGTTTGGCTTGAAATGGCATTTTTCAAAACCAGCTTAAGAGTGTGCTGATAGGCTGCTTTGTGACATCTGGTTCAAAATATTCAAATTCAGGTTTTTAAAGCTCATAGCAGTCTAGCATGGGGCGTTTCCCCGTAATGCAAAGATAATGACAGCATTGAAGGGAAATCAACACTGGAAAGGGTTACCCAAGAGTGGTTCTGGAGTCTTTTTTCCTGATGACCTGTGAAAACAGGATATTCACCTATGTCTGGGGTGGTTTGGGTGAAGGCTGCCTGGCGTCATGATGATGAACGGGATGTCTCTGGAGGTGCTTTCAATCCCCTTGTCTCTATGAGTCTACGAATGTTACTTCACTATATGAAATTCTACTCAAAGTACAACAAAATGTCCCCAGAGAAAGGTATTTTGCAGGCCATAAAAGTTATTTCTGGTATGTCTAAAATTGTCTGTAAGTTGCTGGGTTTCAAACAAAAATCTGGCACAGTATCACAGTAACCGTGATGTCCTGCCCTGATATGGGGAGATGGGTGAGGAGCAGCATCACTGGCACTGCAGAACCCCTGTTCTCAGAGCATGTGGGCACCAAGTGAGAGGTGACGGGGCAAGGCAGAATAGCCCTGAGCAGCCCATGTAGAGGCAGATTTGAGGCCCAACACTACCAGAGAAAGGTACAGCTGCATGTGGCACCATTAGCAACAGCACAGGCCAGGCACGCTTGTCCTCCCCCAGGGTTTTTCTGCTGAGACTAGACTCCCACAAATGCCACTTTCTTTCTGTGCCTCCCCCAAAGGGAATGATATCGTGAATCCTTGGGATAATTAATGAAAATGAAAATTATGCTGAATGGAAAAACTGACACTGAAAATTTTCATGGTATGTGGGTCATCTCTAAAAAGGACAGAAAAAGAAAGCTGTTTACAAATTAATTTCCACTAAAAATTCTTCTCACACCCCTAATTCACAATTCCACCCAGTCAGTAGCCAGTAGTTTTGTCTCAAATGGAAAACAAATCCATAGAGGATCTTTGTTTGAAGGATAAGTCTTTGAAGGAAGAAAATATTGAAGAGATGGAATTTAAGAGGAAAGTCCCTTTTCACACAACATTCCAGAAAGACTTCCCCTCCTCTGCCTTGAAGAATAATCAAACCTTCAACCTTCGAGCATTGGCAAGGTTGTTTCTCCAGTATCTACAGTCAGTACGTGTATGTATATCTGAGTATGAGTGGAGCATGCTGGGAGGCAAGCTGACAAGGGCTGTAGGCATTGGAGACATGAGGGTCCTAAGAGGAAATGGGAGCAGTGAGCTGGCAGAGATTAGGGAGTAGGGAGACAAAAATTTAAGCTTCCAGAACTAGACAGAAGGACAGTCCTACGTGGCTTAAACCCTGGGTCTCACCAAGCCAAAGTACCAAGCACATGTGTCTGGCATGAGTCAGAAATGCAAAAACCCATGAATCTCATGGGCAAGTGAAACTCATTGAAATGGCTAAGACTGATGCCAGGGAAGGCCAAAGTGTCTCCTGGGCCTTCTCAGGTCTCAGGCAGGGGCTGCCAGGACTGGGGAAGCTTCAGTTCTGGGAAAGATTGGTATAGGAGGAAACGAAGCTTCAAAGAGTGCAGCTGAGCCAGAAAGACATGTTTATATTTTACTGTGTGGAGATACTTATTTTGATGGTTTACACGTTCTTTTTCTGTGAGGAAGTTAGTGATTCTGTGGACACTAAGCAAGAAAAGCATTGCCCTTTTTATCACTAACCTAGCTCAAAGATTTACATCATATTTACCCCCTGATGATTTGAACCAAGAAAAATATACCAAATAAGCCTTGGGATACAGGTACACTCTCTGATGTTCCCACAACTCTTCCCTTGCCTGGGGATTAGGCCATGCACAGGCACCAGTGCTCTCCCTCTGCCTCTGCCTCTGACCACTCCTCTTCTCTGCGGTGCCTCCCCACACTAGCAAGCATGAGCATCTGCCTGCCCAGCACCTGGAACTGCCCCACACATTCCCGTGGAAATCAAATGTATGCAGGTATGCATATATACATATATGCATATAGACTCAGCATTCCTAATCTGGAAGAATGAGCAGGAGCATTGTCATGGTGAAACAGAACTCTGGTAAAGCTTTTCTGGGTGTTTTTCTGCTAGAGCTTTGGCTAACTTTCTCAGAACACTCTCATAATAAGCAGATGCTAGTTTTTGGCCCTCCAGAAAGTCAAAAAGCCAAATGCCTTGAGCATCCAAGAAAACTGTTGCCATGGCCTTTTCTCTTCACCAGAGAGCTTTTGCTTTGACAAGACCACTTCCACCTCTTAGTAGCCATGGCTTTGGTTCTGCTTTATATTCAGGACTGTACTAGTAAAGCCATGTTTCATCTCCTGTTATAATTCTTCAAAGAAATGTTTCAGGATCTTGATTCCACTGGTTTAATATTTTCATTGAAAGCTCTGTTCTTGTCTGGAGCTGATGTGCATGCTGGACCAATTGAGATGTCTATGGTGTTGGTTATTGTTTCTGCTGTTAATAATTCATCCTTTTCAATTAGGGCACAAATAAGATTAATTTTTTCCTGACAAATTGATATGTATGTCTGCTGCTTCAGGCTTCATCTTCAACATTGTCTCATCACTACTCAAAACAAGTTATCCCCTTGTGAACTGCTGATTTCTTTGGGGCATTGTCTGCGTAAACTTTTCATAAAACATCAATGATTTCATCATTCTTCCACCCAAACTTGACCATAAACTTGATGTTTGCTCTTGCTTCAATTTTATCAGAATTCATGTTGATGTATGTCTGCTGCTTCAGGCTTCATCTTCAACATTGTCTCATCACTACTCAAAACAAGTTATCCACTTGTGAACTGCTGATTTCTTTGGGGCATTGTCTGCGTAAACTTTTCATAAAACATCAATGATTTCATCATTCTTCTACCCAAACTTGACCATAAACTTGATGTTTGCTCTTGCTTCAATTTTATCAGAATTCATGTTGCTTTGATAGGGGCTCTTTTCAAACTTCTTAGTGCCTCAAACTAGATCCTGTTCAGACATGCTATAACAAGTTAGTACAAGTTTATTATGCTGCAAAAATTTTTTGAAATCCATGCATAGCTTTTTCATAATATGTATTTCCCATGAACCTTTTGAAGTGCCCTTGTGCATATTTATTTATGATAGGTAGATAAATAGGTGTATAAAAGATAGGTAGATAGATAGGTAGGAAGGTAGGTAGACAGACAGACAGACAGACAGAATATTAGTGCTGATAGATTTTTCTGTGATGATGGAAATGTTCTTTATCCGTACTGTACAATATGGTAGTTGCTAGCCACATGTGGCTATTGAGTACTTGAATATTGCTAGTGAGACTGAGGAACAAAATTTTTAATTTTATTTTTT